TCGGTACCCCAAGCAGGATTCGAACCTAGGACTATTCGTCGCTTCGTTACTTCTTTCCGTTTTCTTTTTTTATCTACGTCAATTGCCTTCGAAGCTTCGTCGCTACGTCTTTTCGCCTATTCACTTCTTCGTTCCCTGTTTCCTTTTTTTTATTCTCTACTTCCATTCTCTCCGACTCTTCATGGCCTATCCACCTCGTCTTTTCGACTCTTCTTATTTTCTCTTATCATATTTGTTTATTCGTCTATTCGTTTCTTCTTTCATTTTTCTTTTCTGCTCTACTTCTATTCCCTTTGATTCTTCTCCTCTACGTCTACTCCCTTACCTTCTAATTCTCTTCTTCTCTTCATTTCTACCCTCAGTTTATATGTACGTTTTCGAGGCTATGCTTAGATATGATATAAGAACTGTATTCGCCCTATTCCATTTAAACTGATGAAAGAATGGCATTTAATTTTTCCCAAAATGTCACGTGGCTCTTTTTTTCCCAAATTTGATTACATCCGAGCAGAAGTGGACTACAATTTTGACCTGTTCTAGGTCTCACCAACACCCTTAACGAGACTCGAACCCAGGCTGCCTTAGGGCAACGCACTATCTCGACATAACAACGACTTTGCCACACTTCCACGAGTACCCACGGTTCTCAGGGCAAAAATGAACTTCAAGAAAGCCTAGGGAGGATGCTGGTAAGACGAGTTCAGGCGAGGTCGAAACTCTGCTGCTCAGTCAAGTCAGGATGAGATTATATTTTGGGAAGTAAGACTATGTGAAATTCAATTAAAACGCAACTTGGTCAGTTTAGTAAGAAGCTTAGAAGAACTCACCTAGTCCGGAGTCCATTGTATGCATCATCATTGTTGAGCTTACTTCCATTTCGAGTGAAAGTGTTGCGTGAAGAGATTCGCAGGTCGGTTCCACCAGAAGACGATGGCGGATTCCTCTTGACCAGCTGTCGATTGGCTTTACTGGAACATTTATGCTGACACTGTTTCCGATGCAATCTCCTTCGATTCCGGTGAAAAGGTACTAAGCTTTCGTCCGTCATATGGCGGACATCATCAGAGCGTGGTACCATCGTCACAACAAAATTGAAGCTAACGAGTCAAGAAAACTGTTGAATTTGGTTGCGACGATGTATACTCCATGCTCTGGTGATGTTCCTCACATTTCAGACAAAAGCTTAGCACCTTTTCACCGGAATCGAAGAAGATTGCCTCGGAAGCAGAGTCATCTTGAATGTTCCAATAAAGCCAATCGACAGCTGGTCAAGAGGAATCGGCCGTCGTCTTCTGGTGGAACCGAACTTAAAATCTCTTCACGCAACACTTTCACTCGAAATGGAAGTGAGCTCAACGATTATGAAACAAGAAATTCCTCGAAACCCAACTTTTCTTTGCATCGTCATTTCCAAAGTCGGACCGTGGACGTGGTACATTCCCAGACGTTTCGCCGGCATCATAGTCGACATCGTCCGTGAGTCTTGCCAGTCTTGGCGTCACACTACAACTCTTCATAGAGACAATTGCAGTCAACCATTTCACCGAATGTGTGTTAAATGTCTGATTGAGAGAAAATTAATCAACCGTAGACTAAATGGGGTGAATATATCTCTTACACCAGATCTGCTCGCAGTCAGAAAACGGAACTATTTACAGAGAACGTATACTGTGATTGGAGCCAAGTAAAATCATTCCGTCGGGGAAGATTAAAAACGGAACTCTGAGGATATGATGGAGATTGCGACAAGAAATCTATCGAGCAGGATGGCAAATAAAGCAAAGAGATATGAAGTAATCCCACCAAACTCGCCAAAACTAACACACCTCCAAAGTGCCAGAGAAGAAACAAGTTAGAAATGGGATGGGAGGACAGGGTGTGGATAGAGATGCCACGACAAAAGGAGGGGGAATAACATGACCGTCCGGCAGAATGTTGGTCAAAGGAGGGATGATGAACTGTAGCCGATATGGGTGCTGAGAATGGTAAGACTCACTGACGATGTCGGCGAAACATCTGAGAATGTACCAATTTAAACTGTCCGACACTGGGAATTATCACACCGACTATAGCAGACGACTTAGGACAAGACGAGTCCAACTTTGTTGCCATGACAACATTACCAATTTACGAAAAAGAGGTTTAACCTTTTCCATGCGGCGACAGAAGTCTGCGACCAAAACAGAGGCCACACCATCTTTCTCTTCATATGTAATGTTAACTCAAATTAACTATTGAATTGTATTGATATAAATTCCAAAGAAACCGGTACTTTAGAATGAAATCTAAACAAAAACAGTAATTTTTATTGAAGATATGAAGACCATGATGTTATGGCCTTTGGTATGGTCGCAGTCTCCTTTCGATTTATAGAAATGGGTGGACCTCGTTGTCGCAACTTGGTCCTGTTGTCAGGGCGACTTAATAGAACGTACCTAGTCCGAAGTAGCAGTTATCATGATTCCCAGCATCAGACAGCGAATGGCAAAACTGTCTGATGATGCCGACGACAGGTTTAAGAATGTACCAAGTCCACTGTCAGATGCTGGGAATCATGTAATATTCGATGACATAAAAATGAATCATATCATCTAACCATTTGTTTTCTGTAGTTGTAAATCGAGTAATTGGCTGTTTAAGCCTACTTAATTCAGTGAGTAATAAAGTCAAAGACTATATCAAATACAACTTTGCTTCTTGACAAGTCCATCACAAAAATGTGAAATGAAAAAGGCTTAGGATTCCTTGAAATTCACGTCTGCCCTTTGACCCAACGGCAATCATGACAGTCTGGCGTAGTCATTAACTTTGCAAAAATATGTTTGCTTTATTGCCACAACCCGGTTTGGAGTCCTGGTTAGGGCACTAATGAGACCAGTTCAGGCCAGTTCGAAACTGCAGTACTCTTCTGCCTGAATGAGAATACCTGTTTAGAAGGAGTGATATGCGAAAGTTAATAAAAACATAAGGTTTGCTCGTCTGATTGTGGGAAAATTTAACAATCACTCCTTCAACACGTTCAAGCAAATCGGATGAATAACAATCTTATATCTGACAGGAATTGAAGGAGACCGCTTCGAGAACGACGTCATTCAGAAGGTTTCAGTAAAACAAAAAGACGACTGGACAAGAATTTTTGAATCACGTCATCATTCGCAAGTAATTTAAACGATAGCATATTTTCACATCATTATTACTATTATTGGAAATATTCACAGTACTATTACTATCCGGTACTGAATTACCATTTTTCAGCATATTCCGAAACTAATAGCAATTCTTGGATGGGAATATGGGCCCAGATGAGGTAGAAACTTTAGTCGAGACTGAATGGGAGAACATTAATAAAGTCGAGGCGAGATAAAATTTGATGGT